TTATAAAGATACTAAGTGTGTCATATTCATCAACTTATCGGTATTGTATATCATTACCATGGTGGGTTTTAGGTCAACTAAACATATGTTATTGTTGATATTGTTATCCTAGTGGGTTATATATTAACAGAAACTATGTTCTTTTTTTATATTAATATTAGCATAGCCTATTATAAAGACTAAGTAAAGCTTTGTTTTTGTCGATATCCTCGTTATCATTTCGAGTTATAGATCAACAAAAGATTCGGATAGCATTAATGTGGCAATCTCTTCTCAATAATGTTAGATAATGCAGATACACCAAAGATGTAAACTGTTTCAGTTATTGACTCATTTATCAAAATTCTCATATCGGGATAAATCACTAAGAGATGGAATCCACAATGATTCCATAATAAATCCTTTCTAATTAATTTTTGGATATCCATATCCGGCTTATTTAAATGCGTCATTCGAAACAGAGTTAAGAGTGAAGAGGAATAACCAGGAGCTATGAACTGACACCTGCAAAAACAAAATAAGCATGTATAACTGGTGAGTACAAATGGTGAGTACAGTTAGTAATCACAACTACTGAGTACAGCTAGGCGAATATTTACAATAGTTATTACCAATGTATGTGACATTCGGCAGCCGTGTCCCAACTCTTCAAATTCAATCAATTCCTGGTTATTGCAATATAATTATAATAAAATATAACCAATAATTCCAATAATATTTGCTTTTTGGTTTGCGATTAATTTTGTTGTTTGTTTATTTCACTATTTGCACTGTAACTTTTCTCCTCCTCCTCCCCCCTTTATTTTGTTCCGCTTAATTATAACTGCTGAAGAGAACCCCAGCAGGGGGTCGAAATATACAGATCAATTAATTTACAGGGTTTATGTCTCCATGTGGGTTATTATTGAGCAGCGAAAACAGTTCATTACGTTTTCTTTGGTTATTTGCGCAATTGTTACTGTTATTTTGTATATTATTATTATTATTATTATTATTATTATTAGACAGACACCCATATATGTAACGTTAATGTCGAGGCAGTTTCCCTACCTCACCTGGACTATCTAGCATTGCTTCCCCAGAGCTAGAAAGATGCACCCCAGTCTTCACAGACCCCCAGCCTTTCCAGACACCCCCAGCCCTTCCCGACACTCCCAGCCCTTCTAACCCCCACAGCTCTTCCAGACACCCACAGCCCTTCCAGACCCATCCCCCAGCCCTTCCACAACAAAAGTTCATCCAGGCCCCGGCCATTCCAGACCCTATCTCTTGCCTATGTGTAACATCTGCCATTTAATTTGTCCCAGATGTCAATGAATAAGAGAGAAACGTCCTTGCAGTACCTATCGCACTAGCAATTTGAAAAAATTACCCCAGACAATGTTCATTGCCCTCCCGTCACTTGGTAAAATGCTAAGATCGATCTCTCTCCTAACCCAATTTACTCCGTAGGAGTTCTGTACTTATCCAAACTCGTCTCTCCCACTGTTCCTGACATCACTGCCTCCAACAATGAGGCAGATAATGGGTTAGTTCCCATTACCTGATATGATATTATCCGATCTGATATCCACATCCCTCATCCAAACCCCAGGGAAACATCCCCAACCTACCTCCTCTTACTAACCACATAAAGGATGTACTGTCCATATATTGGGCATTTACAAACATTATCTCTCAGTCCACAGCAGGATTCGAACCTGCACACTCTGCATCAAAGTACGTAGAAGTTTGACAGATCCCAGATAAATATGGGCAGTGTGTGCAGGTTCGAATCCTCCTGTGGCCCTAGAAATAATGTTTGTAACTAGTTTTGCCCGTTTAGGAATTAAGCATAATGGGCATATTGGTGAGTACAAATAGAAAGCGCGACTGTTTCGCGCTCAGCAGACGGAGGATAAAGCCTCCACCACGTCTTGTGCTGAATGACTCGTGTGGGTTTAACACACAACACGAATTAAACTATTATCATACACCTCCCCGCTCACATCATGTACCTTCCTGCTCACATCATGCACCTCCCCGCTCACATCATGCACCTCCCCGTCAGTATGTTTTTTTTCCTCCTTCAACGCCTCCCAGCGAGACGCTAATTTCATTTTTTGTTGCTACCTCCAACCTTTTTGAACGTTTATATCTGTCACTTTTTCCCTGTTGTATCTTCTTCCTCCCTCTATTGTCCCTATTTCTTCTCTCTCTCGCCCTCCCTCCCTCTCTGGTGTCTAGGGGACAGACTAACATCAGGGTCTCCGTGACTTATGGTTTACGACACAGGTCACTCCACCAGCAAAAATGTAAATGTTTCTATACATAACTTAAGGCTTTTCTTACAGACTCAATACAAATATACACATCTATACAATATCATTATATTACTGGTGTATAATATACACACAATTGTAAAATTTCATTATATTACTGGTATACAATACAAATATACACAATTATACAAATTATATTACAATTATACAGTCACATTATATTCAAGGCAGCTGAAATCGCAGATATAAAGAATGTACAGAGAACCTTGTCAATTCCTCTCAGTTTCTCTTTCACTTTATACGTAATCATGTCGTCCCTATCCTTCCTGTTTCCCAGTGTCGTCAGGTTGATTTCCTCTAACTTCTCCTCATAGGATATACCCTTTAACTTCGTGACTAGTCTTGTTCTAAACTTTTACACTCTAATTTCTTGACGTGCTTGACTAGATATGGGTTCCATACTGGTGCTGCATACTCCAATATGGGCCTTACGTACACGGTATACAGTGTCATTAATGACTTCTTACTTAGATATCGTAACGCTTTTCTTACAATTGTCAGGTGCCCATATGCTACAACAGTTATTTCTTTGATGTGCATCTCACGAGATGTGTTCGGCATGATGTTCACTCCAAGATTCTTTTCGTTGCATAAAGTTTGCAGCATGTACTCCGTCTACGGTCTACTTTGTCAGTCCCCATGCTTCGTGACCTGATCCTCTTCCACTTTAATTTTCCGCATTAGCTTCGCGTCGTCTGCAAACAGGGACACATCTGAATCTATCCCTTCCGTCATGTCATTCAAATATACAAGAAACAGCACCGGACCTAGGACTTACCTTTGTGGAACCCCACTCGACATATGTACCCACTTTGACACTGTCGCATACCATCACTCGTTGTTTCCTTCTTGTCAGGTATTCCCCGATACATTTCAACGCTTCTCCTGCCTGCTTCTCTAGTTTTTTGTAAACGTACGTACGTGTGTGCGTGCATATACATACGTACGCATGAACTCTCAGAGTTCCATTTGTAAGAGTCTATTCTTGCCTCCTGTCCCCAGTTTCAAATTACTTTCTTTAGGCTCTTGTCATACCCTCTCCTAAAACTCTCTCCTGAACACAATTCACGTATGTGCACTCTCTCTCTCTCTCTCGCTCACACACACACACACACACACACACACACACACACACACACACACACAACGGAAAAAAGGGTGTATACGTGCACATAGAGCACAGGGAGTGCAGATCATGCAAGAGCGTGCACTATCTGGCTGGCCACTGCAAGAGCGGCTATTAATACTGAAGTCATGCTTTCCTCCCATGCAATTTTTACCTGTCTATTACTGGCCCTCAGTAACCACGAAGGGAGGGAGGGAGGGAGATGTAGGGAGGGTGGGGTGGGAGTAAAAAAAAAGGAAGGCAGAAGACTTTATTCCTAAATAATGCGCTTAAAGTCAGTAGCCGACCACCCGGGCTGTGGTTCATACATTGCATTACGTGCGGCCAACAGTAACAACTTGATTGATCAGGCCCTGATGCACCGGAAAGCCTGGTCAAAGGCTAGGCCGCGGGGACGTCGACCCCGGAACGACCCTACAAGTAGACTCCAGGTAGACAGGAACGAGCGGAAGAAATAAAAACACTGATCTTAGAAACGTCCTCACAAAAAAATATAAAAAGCGCTAAACAAAAGCACCAATGAATACAAAGCATTATTTGTATATAAGCGTGTATTACAAAAAAGATGTATTCGTACACTACGCAAAAAAAAAATAGTTTAGTTTGAGCCTACGCGTCAAAGTACGCGGGTAAGAGCGGTGCAAGACCCACTAGGTACAATTCACAAGGCAATCCAAAATTCATACAGCGGCAAAACTAACAATTTAATAAAGAAAAAAAACCACATCGCAAAAGTTGTATGGAGTTTTACGAAGTCATAATATAACGACGTTCTAGAGCGGAACGTTACGCCAATAAAAGTGTGTTTTGCTGTCTCTCTCATTCAGTTATAAGCAGTACGAAATCTGCGCTCAGGTCAAAAACCTACTAATCAGGAAGAAAAAAAATCAGCGAACCGAGTGGATCAAGGCCCAGGAGAAGTACTCCACAATACTGCATCTAAAATTGTGTTCACCTACTTGTAGTAGATGAATGGGAAGGGGAAACACTGTCCCCTCAGTCCCATCCCACACCAGGACTCCAACTTTATAGACTAATCAATAAGGTTTTTTTTTTTTAAATAAATCAGTAGCAGCACGCAACCTAACATATGCATCATATCAGAAGCTGAAAATCAGTCAAAATTTCACATGGAGGGGATGAGGGAGCTGGTCAACGTACACGAGGCACTGTACTCAGGAAAGAACATTTTTGTCGCACCTGTTGACATTTTCACCTCGCCTGCTTACGTTTTTACCTCTGCCGTCAGTGGTGGCGTCAACGCGAAGTGGGGAAGGACTACTTCAGCTCCCATAATTTCCATCAGCCCCCGAAAGCCCCCCAAATAAAAAATAACAGCTTCAAGACACATTCTATAGTCCCCCCTTCCCATCCAGCCAGACTGCTGTCCCTAAGTCTCTCTCGGATAGAAATTCTGGAGCCACCACTGATTATCGTCGTTGTTGCCTCATCTGTCATCGTTTTTGTCATATCTGTCGTCGTTTTTCCTCACTAGATGACGTTTTTACCTCACTTGTTGCCACTTAATCTCATTTGTTACCATTTAACCTCACCTGTTGTTCTTTACCCTCGCCAGTTGTTGTTTTCCCTCACCTGTAAAAAAGGAGAAAATATTAGCTTTTCTCAAAATTGGTACACTTTTACAGAGCTAATAAGTGTCCAAAATAATCAGATAAAGGCGACCAGGGAATACAGACAGGAAATTACCATCAGAGAAACATGAACAAAACATTTTTGCCAAATAAATCACTGACCTTTACAAAATCGCTCATTTTTTAATATAAATTAATATAAACCACTGCAAAAAATAACTAATGTACCAGTGAACAGAAGCCTTTGTGTGCATGTAAGGCACGCCTTTTTTCCCACAAAATGGCTTGGAAAATCACGCTGCGCCTTATATGCTCAAGGTCGGAGTCAAGGGTAGGCTTTGGGTTAAGAGTTAGCTTAAAGAGGGTCATTCACCCTTGAATGTGATTACTGACTTACCGTTATGATAGTTCTGTCGTGCGCCTTATATGCCGGTAAATATGGTCAATATGGACATCACACTCGGATCAGGAGTGTCCCAGGAACAGTCAAATGTCACACTACATGCCTGTCCACAGCTCAAAGACCTTCGCCACACCAGGAGCCAGAAACCTCCACGCTCTCTGGGTCTCTCAGTTTAAATTGTTTTACAAGGTACATCAAGCCAAAACAAAAAAAATTGCCAGAATATTTACGAGTATACATTGTGGTAAAACCAGCTTCATGTATCTTGTGCTGGGACAAACATTACAGCTCTCGATGAGGTAGAGGAGGTTACTGGTTACTGCTGCTGGATTTATTTCAGAAATAAGGATCTTTGGACAAATATATATATGAGAATATATATGTTGAGCCGAATAGGTAAAACTGGTCAATTAGCAATAACTCAATTAAAATTCCTTTCTAAAATTTTCTCTTACACGTTTAAAGATATGTATATTTTTTCATTTATGTTAATGTAAAAATTAAAAATTTTGTACCAAAAGAGCCTTAGAAAACTTACCTAACCTTATAACAAGCGCAATTTAATTTAGCCTAATCCAACTAAATATATTTTAGACAAGTTTACAATAATTTAATAAACAATGAAATATATATTTTTAGTTAGGTTCAGAATGATTTTTGCGAAATTATTGCATACACAAATTTTAGCTTGCCTTATTCGGCAAGAAGAATGTTGCTATTTAAGCCAAAATCGCAAGTTTTACCTATTCGGCACGACATATATATATGTGTATATATGTAAAGCACCTAAACTACTGGGAATACCTGCAAGTCTTGAACATGTACTCACTGGAGTGGAGGAGAGAGAGATACATGATAATATATACCTGGAAGGGACTCGAGGGCTTGGTCTCAAATCTGCACACTGCCATAACAACATACTGGAGCGAGAGATATGGGAGGAAGTGTAAAATAAACCCAGTGAGGAGCAGGGGTGCGGTGGGGACAATAAGGGAACACTATCAACATCCGGGGTCCCAGACTATTCAACATCTTACCAGAAGATATCAGAAACACTGCTGGAACAAGTGTTGAAGCCTTCAAGAGGAAACTAGACAAGTATCTTCACCAGGTGCCAGATCAACCAGGCTGTGATGGATATGTGGGGCAGCGGGCCTCCAGCAGCAACAGCCTGGTTGATCAGGCGAGCACCAGACGAGCCTGACCCATGGCCGGGCTCAGAGAGTAGATATACTCTCGAAATTCTTCAAAGGTGTGTGTGTGTGTGTGTTGTGTGTATATATATATATATAATATATATATATATATATATATATATATATATATATATATATTTATATATATATATATATTATTACATACACACGATAAGCCACGGAGGAATGAAAATTTTCAGTTCAAGATCTCTGACACGTCTCTGTGTCATCAGGAGCTATGCAATGTTGCAAGAGAAGCAACAGGTAGACTGAGGGGGAAGTTTCCTCCAAGGAAATCTCCCTTCAACCCAAGATATTTAGGCAACAGTGTATCAGTAGATTACTAAGATGTGGGAACCAAGAGCTGTAGCTTAACTTTAACAGTGTTACGCACAAGCCCTGCAGCCCAGGAGCTGCTGCTCGACCCTCACTAGTAGCAGCAGTTAACTCAAGAAGACACTCAACATTTCGTGTAAATGACCAACAATTTTAGCAATTATAAAACAGTTTCCCCACACGCTAAATTCTGAGTCAATATTCCTGACCTGCAACTGTCCGAACGTGACCTGCAGCTGTAACAAGGTGACCTGCAGCTGTAACAGTGACCTGCAGCTGTAACAGTGACCTGCAGCTGACTCAAGGTGACCTGCAACTGTCCGAACGTAACCTGCAGCTGTAACAAGGTGACCTGCAGCTGTAACAGTGACCTGCAGCTGTAACAAGGTGACCTGCAGCTGTTACAAGGTGACATGCATCTATAAGTGTCCTGTAGCTGTAATGTGGCCTGCAACTGTAAGGCGACCTGAAGCTTTATGTAGCCTGCAGATGTAACTACGTAACCTGCAGTTTATCTGTTCTAAAGTGGTCTTCCATTTAAACGAAAGTAATCAGGAGTACATGGTACACCAACCAGTCTGCAGTACGTGGTACACCAACCACCAGTCTGCAGTACGTGGTACACCAACCACCAGTCTGCAGTACGTGGTACACCAACCACCAGTCTGCAGTACGTGGTACACCAACCACCAGTCTGCAGTACGTGGTACACCAACCACCAGTCTGCAGTACGTGGTACACCAACCACAGTCTGCAGTACGTGGTACACCAACCACCAGTCTGCAGTACGTGGTACACCAACCACCAGTCTGCAGTACGTGGTAAACCAACCACCAGTCTCCAGTACGTGGTAAACCAACCACCAGTCTCCAGTACGTGGTAAACCAACCACCAGTCTGCAGTACGTGGTAAACCAACCACCAGTCTGCAGTACGTGGTACACCAACCACCAGTCTGCAGTACGTGGTAAACCAACCACCAGTCTGCAGTACGTGGCACACCAACCACCAGTCTGCAGTACGTGGCACACCAACCACCAGTCTGCAGTACGTGGCCACACAACCACCAGTCTGCAGTACGTGGCACACCAACCACCAGTCTGCAGTACGTGGCACACCAACCACCAGTCTGCAGTACGTGGCACACCAACCACCAGTCTGCAGTACGTGGCACACCAACCACCAGTCTGCAGTACGTGGCACACCAACCACCAGTCTGCAGTACGTGGCACACCAACCACCAGTCTGCAGTACGTGGCACACCAACCACCAGTCTGCAGTACGTGGCACACCAACCACCAGTCTGCAGTACGTGGTACACCAACCACCAGTCTGCAGTACGTGGTACACCAACCACCAGTCTGCAGTACGTGGTACACCAACCACCAGTCTGCAGTACGTGGTACACCAACCACCAGTCTGCAGTACGTGGTACACCAACCACCAGTCTGCAGTACGTGGTACACCAACCACAGTCTGCAGTACGTGGTACACCAACCACCAGTCTGCAGTACGTGGTACACCAACCACAAGTCTGCAGTACGTGGTACACCAACCACCAGTCTGCAGTACGTGGTACACCAACCACCAGTCTGCAGTACGTGGTACACCAACCACCAGTCTGCAGTACGTGGTACACCAACCACCAGTCTGCAGTACGTGGTACACCAACCACCAGTCTGCAGTACGTGGTACACCAACCACCAGTCTGCAGTACGTGGTACACCAACCACCAGTCTGCAGTACGTGGTACACCAACCACCAGTCTGCAGTACGTGGTACACCAACCACCAGTCTGCAGTACGTGGTACACCAACCACCAGTCTGCAGTTACGTGGCACACCAACCCACCAGTCTGCAGTACGTGGCACACCAACCACCCAGTCTGCAGTACGTGGTACACCACAACCACAGTCTGCAGTACGTGGTACACCAACCACCAGTCTGCAGTACGTGGTACACCAACCACCAGTCTGCAGTACGTGGTAAACCAACCACCAGTCTGCAGTACGTGGTAAACCAAGCAGTCCATAGTACACCAACCAGTCTTGGAGTGGACGCCACATTAATCTCACCTAATACCAATAAAAACCAGCTAACATTGACAACTTACAGAAGAATGAAATCTACAATACCATGATCAGAACAATTCACAGCTGACCATAATTCACAACTAACAATTTGAAGAGGAATCTTTAAAAAACATTTCATACTTTAAAAAAAAAAAAACATACCATGGGTAGGGTTTGAACTCGCTGTCAGAGAGTCTCAAAACTCCAGACCTTCGCGTTAGCCACGGTCATTACGATTTCGTGAGTCATGTTGACGGCTTTGAGGGAACTTGAGCTAGAGTTCGTCACGGCCATGCTAGCGGGCGATTCGTCTGTAAAAAAAAACTTGCATTTGTGGACACAGTGGTGCCTATGCTAACCTTCCTATGGTGTAGAAATACATACCTAGTTGGATGAATCTTATGAAGCTAGCTGGCCCAGCGGCGGTCTGGAGTTTTGAGACTCTGACCGTGGGTTCAAACTCCACCCGTGGTGTGGTTTGTTTGCAATCGTGTCATTACGATTTCGTGAGTCATTTCATACTCTTATTGTACTAGGGTAGTACCTTCCTGGATACTATATTGCTTAGCCTTGGATATCTATTAACTCATCTAGCCAGACAGGTTAAGTAAATAAAAAGCTGCTGAGGGGTGTGTCATCGTAATCCCGGAGCTGAAAGATGTGAGCTACGAAGAAATGCTTGAAGCGCTGGATCTCATCACTAGAGAAGACTCAGAGGAGAGACGAATCAGAAGGGATATAGCCAAGGATTACAAGGCATTCGGTGGTATAGACAATGTACGTAGGTGCTAAAATAAGAGAGGGCAGGATAACGTTACACAAAAAAATATACAAATGAGCGGTACAGGGTATTAGAAGGAACTTGTTTCAGCATGGAAGCAGAGAAGTGAAACACACTAGGATGTCAGGAGGCTGAACTTATGCACGGCTCTTGCAACAAGGATGACAAAATCCGAAGTATCAGAATGTGATTATGAGAGTAACACGAAGGTTCG